AATCAGCTCTCATGCTACTACTGCACGTTGCCCAGCAGTAAAAAGCACAGTATTCAAGTGGCTGTTATTTGCAATAGAATGCCTCCAAGCACCAGGCATGAAATGACTGTATTAGGACCAAGGGGCCCTTCCTGTCTCAGGGAGCTCACGGGTGTGTGGAAGGTGATGGATGGGTGAGACTGTATCCACTGCGACTATATCCATTAACACAACAGGTACAACTTAGGATATCCATTGCTTTAAGTATTAAACTTCCATACCTATGAAATTAAAAGTGTTTCAACAAGAGATGCAGGTGATACGTAGGAGGGAATTCTGCAAAAATTTATGCAACAGGAACAAGGGGCAACTGGAAGCAGCATGAAAATGCTTATTTGGAAATCTAGAATGAGGGTCATAGAAGTTGATCTGATGAGATGATCAGACCAGGAGATAACTTCATTTGAGTAAGAGGGTTGGGCATGGGCTCACATCAGGCTTTGGCAGTGATGTGAAAGTAAAGAGAGTAGTTTCACATCCAATGGAACAAAGATGACAAAGCCAGAACAGTAATGCAGGAAGCAACAAGTCAAAGCAAGAGCCTAATGAACAGTATACTGCACAACTTACCAGATGCTGTGAAATGTAAGTTGTCTAGATGGCAGGGACATAAAAGAGATGATACTAAGTCAGATCAATGTTAGCCTGAATTAGACTCTAGATTGCATGACCAGGCAAGAAAATCAGTCAGGGGTGCTGCAGAATGTAGACTGGGACAGAGCCAGCACGTGAGGTTGTAAGGACATCCACACTGAGAATCACTGAGATGCTGAAGGGACTGGGGCACCTCTGCTGTGAGGAGAGGCTGAGAGAGCTGGGCCTGCTCAGCCTGAAGAAGTGGAGGCTGAGGGGGACCTCACCAATTTTTACAAATTGATTACAAAACCTGAAGGGAGGGTGCAAAGAAGATGGCTCTTTTCAGCAGTGCCAAGTGCCAGGGCAAGGGGCAGTGGAACTGGAACACAAGAGGTTCTGTCTGAGCACCAGGCAGCACTGCTGTGCACTGTAAGTGATGGAGCACTGACACAGGCTGCCCAGAGGCTGAAGGCTCCTTTTTAGAAATTTTCAGAAACTGCCTGAAAGTGGGCCTGGACACCCTGCTGGAGGTGTCCCTGCTGGAGCAGGGTTGGAGCAGATGGACCCAGAGGTCCCAGCCAACCTCTAATCACTGTCATTCTGTGAAGCAACTGACTAGGCATTGACAGAAAAACAGATAGGAAAGCAAACTATGAGGGGTAGAAAGCTGGTGACGCCCGGTTGTACTGAGGCTGAAGTAACGTGTTCATCCACAAGGTGCCTGAGGTGGATGCATTTTATTCTGGCCATGAAACGGACTTGAAAGCAGTATTGTACCCAAGTTGCAGATAAAATTACAGTTAAAGACATTTGCTGTTCAGCTCATCTTTTAGCATTACACAGGAAGCCTTCTCATAATCCCGCATCCTATAAGTGATGGCCTTGATTCTTTAAAATGCTTTTAGATCTTTCTGGGTGAAAGGCATTGCAAGTACAAATCATTCAGAACTCCTCTGCTAGTATTTTCTTTTGTGAAAGGCTAATCCTAATCTCACTTTCATCTGAAAGGCATATAGGGAACTGAAGTCTCTTTCTTAACATCAACTGCAGAGCAAGGAGACCCCAACCATTCTTAGCCACATAACCGTTATGGAGAAAATAGGTGGGACTTTCACTGTCCGTGAAACAACAACTGTTTGGAATGGAAATACACAGAGTAGCAAAGCACACAGAAAGCCACTTTGAAAAATACCAACGTGCTCCAGCTTGCACTCTTTATGTTGTCAACTGAAATACTTGAAATCCCCCAACGTCCAGTGGAAGGAAGAAATAGGATGACATTTAGCTTTGGAATGCAGTAAAATAGCTTTCCTTTTCATTCTTTACTTTTTGTTTAATTCCCAGAAAACTGATCTGTAGGATTGTCTCACTAACAACAACAAATCTCAACAAGTGCCATCAGTGTGGCATAATAGAATACTTTTCAACAGAGGTCAAAACCTAAAAGAACTATTCCATCTATTCCGTTTTCCAGAAGGCTTTATTCTATTTTGATAGACACATACCCATGAATATCCTCGTGGACATTTTGAAAGCTATAATTTCAACTCTGAGGTTTTGCAAGCTTTGTTTTTTGTGGTGTACGCTATCATAAACATCCTGAATGTAATTACAAGTGCAATTTTGTGGGCTGTATTTTCCCTGTTTGTAGCCGAAAGCCAATGTTTACAAAAACTTTTCAGCACTCTTATTTGATTTCAACTTTTTATTATTATTACAAATGTATATTATTTTATTAAAAAAATTCACACTGAAGCAAAGTCAATTTCATTTCATTACAACCAAGAATATAAAATGAATGCAAGGGACTCAAAGTTTAGTTTTAACAGTCATTTCAAGAGTGACATCAGGACAACTTAAAAGCAGTAAACTCTTAACTCTAGAATGAGAAAAGTATTCCATTTTGTGGTTTCGTGAGCCCATCGGCATGGGCACTGCTGGACGTGGCCACCACTGATGGAAAGCGGCAAAGTTTTGTGGCAGCATGGGGCGCATACGCAATAATTCCTAATGAAAGCTACAAAAATGAAAGATGCGTGCATGAAATCATTAGAAAAAAGTAACTGAGTAGAGACAGGCACACCTCCACAAATAGTAAACATGGGAAAATACAACTAGAACGATTTGAAAAGTATACTACCTTACGTATATAAAAAGTTCTTTAAATTGCTGTTAAAAAGGACACGTTCTGTCCACATTTTGTGTAATACTTTTTAGTGTCTACACAAGACAAATTTTTAAAAAAAATTAAATAGTATTAATTTACTACTAAATATTTAGGAGATAACAGTGCATTAAGGACTTTTTTTTTTTCATATAGTAATACACATCGCTCCTGTCTGGCGACATTTTTAGAAGATTACGTATGGCCTTATGTACAATACATTTATTTAACCCTAAAACAATTCTTTGCTTAATGGTGTTAAAGTACCATTCCTGAAGATTATGAAGAGGAACTAAGCTTATTATGTTTATATAAAATATTATACAATTTGAACACTTCTAGCTTCCCACCACCCCTCCCGCTCAGGATGCTCTTCCCTCCCCCTCCCCAGATACAGTGTCACAGATACAGTGCAGGACTTGCAGCTCTCCCTACATCTCTCCTTCGTTGTGCAGTCTGTGCTACATGAACTTCACCCACGTGTACCAGGCTGCTATTCCATTCCCAACACAGCCACTGCCTCTGAGCCCGCAATGGGAAAAGCTGTGCTCAGCAGCCCACTCTGCCGCCACGCACGCAGGAAGGAGCCAACATCTCTGCTGGTGTCCCTCACCTCCCTGGGTACCAACACGCCACACTTTGGTGAGGGAACAGAGCTTATGGGCAAAGACAAAGCTGGGAAGTACTAACCAAACTGCACGAGCAAAAACTAATAAAAAATAACATGGCCCTGGCTTCCCATGACACACTACACAGTTCGCTTCTTCAAACCTCATGAAATTACCCCTGAAAAGCAAGGCTTCTTTCACTATGACTGCCAGCCACCCCAAAAACGCACTGCAAACTCACAAGAAAAGGCAAATTAGTTCCCAAACAGAAGACAAAGAAACCAGCAAAGCATGCACAGCACGCATTTTCCAGCAGACACCTGTGCTTGTGCTCAACTCTCCATTCAGTTGTTACTTTGAAGGCGATGGAAGAGGTCAGCTCAGCTCTTTGCTTCTGCACAAAAACTGGAGGGGACTGGGGTATGGACCATCTGCCTGGGCCAACAAACACACATACCAGTTCGGTTTGGGCAAAGGGCATGGCAGCTGCTCTAGAAGCTGGAAGCACACTCAACCAAAGGACCTAACACTGCTGTGAAGTTTTCACACTCTACACAGTTTAATCTACACCACGATTTTGCCTTGCTGGCACAAGAGCCCAGCATAACCCTACAGAAACAAAACACATCTCCCTGCTACTATGTGATCTGCTACAGGTCACAGCAGGGGAAATAAACGTTGGGTGATTGTAATGGAAGAGAGAAAAGGATATGGGCAGAACTGAAGGCTTAAATTGGGAGGAGACAACAATTACTCTTCCACTGGTTAATTTCCAGAAATGTGTAATTCAAGTCACAAATACATATTAAAAAATGATACTTTACAGCATTGGCCAAATATCTATCAGCTCAAGGTCCTTCATGCTAACATCAGTAAGAGCAGGATGTTTCTCTTATGGAAAGAATGGAACCCCAGGTTCACTGAAATAAAATACTTAAGATCGGTCCTCTCAAACAGGTTACTGGGGCGGGTACACACGCGTAGCACTTCAAGATCTACGCATTAAAAGTATCTCTTGGGAGATTATTTTTCCCTGAAAACAACTGCATTTTTTTTCCTTCCAAATTGGTTCATTTCATTTCCACCACCTTCTTACCCATCTGATGACAAAAGCAGACTTTATTCTCTTTTCCAGAGAATCTGGGTGTTGTCAAAGTCGCATGATGGGGACATGGCCAAACAAGCCAACTGCTCACTAAAGGCATGAAAACAACACATTTTTGAGGGGGAAGGGGACAATAAAGTTGACTGGGTCAACTTTAATAACCCAATAAAATCAAATTCCTGTCTAGCTGTGCTAAAAAGCATTTTCCTCAGAGCAAACAGACCCACATGTCTTCCTAGGTATGAGCACAACTTCAATGTGAATGCGTGCAGGTAAGTACTGCAATATTTACAGAAGAGAACACAGTATAAGTGGTTGTAACACCGACTATTCACATATAAACTCCTCTGATTACACCTTCTCTGGACACCAACTTTAGAAGCTCGCTGATGTTACATCGTCGGCAGCTTTCGAACAGCATTAATGGTTTTTCCAGGTTTTCTGCAACAAGACCTCCTTATTTCTGATGGCTGAAGGAAAAACGAAGCTGTCCCAAATTATAAGTTGCTTCTCTCCAAATAACTGTGGTTGCTGAAGTTGGACAATGATTCTCTGATCACGCTTCTGAAAGCTGCTTATTTACTGGGGATTTTCTGCCAGCTACCCATCCACTTACAGTCCTTAGGCACAATCAAAACATGTTTGCTCTAGGGAAAAAGAAACATTTCAGTGCAATCAAGCGCATCTGGTGTAACTAATCTGGGTTAATCACAGCAATGTGAGGGACATAGAATATGCATCACCGACATGAAAAAGGAAGAATTTTCAACATGCTTTTCAAACTGCACAATAATTTCTCTTAATTATCAATCTAACAAAAATTGACTAAACGTATTCGCTTTTATAAGTCTCAGTATTTCTGTCATACTCAGGAATGTGAAAGAGAAGCTACATTTATAGAACTCTCACATACATTAATCAGCTGCTTAACAGAAAAACAAGCCATCATCCACATTCCTCCTGAAACTTGAGGGCAGTAAAAACGTTTTCTCAACTATTTTGGTGTCCAGCCTGGGAAGACATTCCATTTTTCTGTTCCAACAAATCCTGAAAGCATCTCCTTTTTATGTGACAGTCATTGTTCCATTTAAAACAACACTTAATTTAAAACTAGTCAGAGCACGATCACTGTGATTTCAAGAATTCAATGTGAATGAGTTAAATAATATCAGCAATCTTCTGTCTGGAGTTCAGTCCAGTAGCATGAAGCATATTTGCTGCTGCAGAGACTTGGGTCATTTTTTTCTTTTTTCCTTTTTCTTTTTTTCTTTTTCTTTTCTTTTTAAGACCTCGCCTGAAAACTAGACTAATAAAAACAGAATAGTAAAATACTCTGGAACAGTAAAATTTTGCTGTTCTTGACATCCATGAGCAAAACAGTAATATCCTGTGAAAATAACATAGTGCTTTAAAAAGGTGCAATATACCTGTATAGCTAAACTGGTTTGCCTAGTATAAAACTAACTATATACAAGCTTGAAAGCCTGGGAGTTCAAGATTTTAAAACTTTAAAATCCCATCAAAGAGATTGAAAAGACAGATTTATGGCAATCACTACAGCATAAAGGAAGGTGCACCAGGAATCCTTCAAAATTCCAAAGGTTAAAGAAGTTAAGTGCTGGGTTCAGATCAGAAGGGTTCATTAGAGTAACCACAATAGAGCACATGCAAGGGCAGGGAGGAAGGAAAACTTCACAAAAATCTCCTTTATGGCAATAAAGGGGCAGGAAAAAAAAAAAAAGTCTTCAGTAAGTAAAGTTTTCCTTTTGCAATTGAGAATTTCAGTTCTGCATCATAGTTCATATTTTTGGTTCTTCTCATCATCACAAACTTCATATTGCTGGAGACTTCTGGCTTTTAGTCCATTCCTTTTGAGTGCAGTCTGTTAAGCCTCTCAGTACCTGTGAGACTGGTGAGATTGGTGATACTGAGAGCTCTGCTGAGATGATGTGGAATAGCCCATTGTACTCTGGGACTGAGAAGATCCCTGAATGTTGCTTTGGTAACTCAGGCGTGAGCTGGAGTGCTGGAGAAAAAAGAGAATGGGATCAGGGAAATGAAAAACAGCCTGTTAGGACTGTGCAGCACAGGAAACTTTCAAGCTCTCTGAAGCTCATTAAAATCTGGCTGTTGGAGAAACTAACTGAAAGGTATTACTGTTTTAAGTCCCATAAACAGGTAATCAATCTGATCTGTAATCAGCCTTAACGCAGCCCAGAAAATACACCATGTCATCGGCAGACATTTAAAAGTACAGCATGTGCACATCAATTATTTGAAGTACAAATACACAATGAACATGTCCAGTAAGACAGGACCTTTGTCCAGGAAAATGATAATATAAAATATTATAATTTTAGGTGAGTCTTTCAACCTGTTGCCTTAATTACTGGAAAACAGCTGCTTAATGATGGGCATGTGTGTGTTCAAATTTATATGTCTGTGCTAAATATAATTTTCCTCCACTGTTTGAGATGTTACCTAAGAGGACCTCAATTTCAGCAACCCAGGTTCATGGATAATTTGTGACCTCCAGAATGTTTAATTTGAATGCTTATTATCGTGCTATTCCCTGTCAAGAATTAATAACGAGCTGCAAAATCACTTTGTGCAAAAGGTACGGCTTAATGGATGGGAGACTCTCTAGCAAAGTAAACCCTACAATCCAATCCACAAAAAATGAATCTACAAAACAAAATGGTACATCTACTCACAGACAGCAAGCCATTTGTTTTCAGCCAAGTTAAGTGCAGGCTCAGGCATCTTTCAATAAAGATTTCTTTCACTGTGTACAGCTTGGTTCTACCTGCCTATGCCTTACAGTTATTAGAAAGACTGTGTCAAACAATGATCATCCAGAAAGAGTATTAAAATCCTACATTCTGACTAAATATCAAGATCAGGAGTTATTTATGGAAAATATCTGGAAAATGTAAGTTCTGAAAGGAAAGCCCACAGATCAAGTGGGTCTGTAAGAATACAACATTCTTCACAGACCAACCATCTGCTTGGCGCAGGTAAGAGACAAGTCAGTGGTCTCATCTAACCATCAGATCCCAACCAGGAGTGCTATGAAAATGTCTTGACAGCTTTCCAGCCAGATGAAGAAGAGCAAGAACCCAAAGTTCAGGCACTGTCAAAACATTTCTGCCCTTTCTTACATAGCTTTATCTTTAATTTCACATAAACTTGAAAACATACTAAAACCTAAAAATACTGCATTATTTTTTCCATGTTCTATTTAAAGATAGAAAACTGAAGGTTGATTTCAAGGTGAAGATTAGTGATATTAGAGAGAGATAACTGTCCATCTTCTAGACCACTGTATCTCAATATAATATCAATATAATCAATATCAGCTTCACTTGTTCACAAGGAGCAGTTGGGGAGAGGACAGTGCAGCACACCAGCTTTGAAAGAGATCTCTCTCAGTGGCACGTACACCATCAGTAACCAGGCTGTGTTTGGCCTGTGTAATTAGAATGTTTACCAAGTGTCTGAAACATAATTTGGCACAAAATTTTGCAACTTTTAACCGGGAAAAAAAGGAAGAATTATGATAAATACTGTGATCGTATAGGAATCGGTTCTGGATGAAAACGCCACGTTATCACGTTAAGCAAAAAACCTGAGGTCATATAAGCAACGTTCAGTAAAAATTAAGAGAGAATTCCCATTGTCATTTGTAAAAGTAACACATATTGATATTGGTATTGACAAATCACAAAAAAAATTCAACAGAGACATTAGGTAACCAGCTAAATGAAACTCAAAGCAAAGCAATTCTTCCTCCTACTTCTGAGTTGGAATATAATGGAGTAAAATTGATGCACAGGACTACAGAACATCTGCTCACGCTTATTTTTATTCTGCAGAAGAGAATTTTTTTTAAAAATTATTTATTTATTTTAGAACTAAGTCGGACTTGGACAAATTGCAGACATTCCTCTCTGGAACAGAAGACTGTCAGCTAGAATTTAAGGGCAGACAGCCAAACCCAAATTTAAAAATGGATAATCAGAACAGACAGTTCAGTAAGTGATGTAAGGGGAGCATACAGATCATTATTTTGCTGCCTGTGCTGTTAAATTCTAGAAGGAAAGGGTCATGGGAGGTTAAAAAAAAAAAAAAAAAAAAAAAAGAATTTAACCATCTCAAAAAATATTAGATTTAGACTGCTAAAAACTTGTAAGGTGGAATCTTGCCAACAGTTTGGAGAGCTGTGTAAGGATTCTGTAATGGACATCATCAAATGCAGCATATCAGCTCTCAAAATACAGATCAAAACAGGCCAGCCATAAATACTATTAGTCAGACAGCTGTAGTGATCAGTCCAGACTTCGAGCCTGCCTGGAACTTTTCAAAAAGGAAACCTTGTTGTCTTTACCCTTGCATTGCCCTCAGTATCTGTGTGATCATTTGTAATTAAAAGAGCAAAACAGAAAAAGGAGAAAAATGTCTGACACTGAGAAATCAATTGCATGTGGAGGAGGTATGGGTGGAGAAGCCAAAGCAATTCCAGAGCTTCTTTGTTTTGTATTAGAGCTGTTTATTTTATGCTTAAAATAGCCTGAACATGTTTCTTAAAGGTGGTATACTCATGAAGGTTGGTAGCAAACAGAATCCCTAACATGCTTTAAAACACACTTTTACTAGCTACCTTGCTGCTAATCTGCTTTTGACTCATTTTTCACATTCTTCAAGTATTGAAGAAGTTGGTTGAATCAACTCTTTGGACATTTAGTGTCACTTTTTCAGAGGAAAGCATCATAATTCTATGAGAGAGAGACAAACATGCAAGTCCCAAAACAATTTGGTGATACGTCTTTTACGTATGAATGCTACTGAAGTGAAAAACATGAAATCTATTCAACTCCGGCCACAACAGACATTGCGCATGCTCACGCCCTGCTTCAGCATGATTCATACCGATGAGCCAAAACGTGTGCTAACATGCATTTTCTCTTTAACTTTAGAAGTAAATTTAGTAAGATATTGGAAATATTGGAACAAACTACAGAATCGTTCCATATGTGAGATGATATCAGGTAACACAAAGCAGAAACCAAAGGGAAAAGCCTGGCTCTAATTTTGATTCGCTTCCCAGGATCTGCCTCTCACACAGGATTTAACCTTGCCAAGAGCCAAGTATTTTGAATGCGATATGATGCAGCATTTACATTCATGAAATAGTTGCAGTGGCTTCGCTAAGATTATTCTCACATAAAGCTATGCACATACTTAAGTGCTCTCCTGGGGTGGTTGAGCCCTCAACACTTAATGGGGTGCAGCAGATATAACTTGTTTTGTATCGGAAATTACTAACCACAGCGCAAAACCTTTTTACTGCCCTAACGTATCAGAGCATACCTGCTACGGCTACAAGGAAAACTCGTTACAACATGATTTTTTTTTTTATTGCAGCGGGGAAGAGAGAAAACGACATTTTGCCTCCCCGCAATCAGAAGCAGCAAAAATTCAAGAGGTACCTGATAATCTGAAGGCATGACAGGCCCGCCTGAGTTAGCGCCTGAAGGCCCTATGCGTGGTTTCTTGTTTGGAGGCACCTGGTTGAGGCTGGAGTCCTGGCTGTGCTGGAGTCCTGCACCCGCGCCCCCTCCGCCTGCACCCGTGCCCCCGGCCGTCCCATTGGTTTGGGTGCTGTTCTGCTGCTGCTGCTGCGGTTGCTGCGGCGCGGCCTGCGGCTGCTGCTGAGGTGCTGTTTGCTGCTGATGTTGGTTCTGCTGCTGCTGATTCTAAAGGAAGAAAGAAGTGACACGACATCGTCATTTGCTCCGTACTCGTTTGTGATCCTGAGGGAGTCACTAAGCCTGGTGCCACCGTGCTGCTGGAAAGGCAGCATGCCCTTGTGTTTGCCAGGAAAGCACGGCAAGGCAAGGTAATGCATAAGATGCGCTCCTGTGGGCCTCAAATTGGGGTATGTCATTTGTGGTTCACTTCTTTCTGTTGTGGTTTTGTGTTGTTTTTTTGTGTGTTATTGTTTTTGTTTTTTTAACAAAGCAGGCAAGGCTAAAGCTGGCATGACAGCCTAGTGATTGCTGCAGCTAGGCAAGCACTTAGGCCAGAGTAACAGGGAGCAGGATTGGAAGGAGTGATTTATAAACACCTAATGAGCAGAATCAAAGCACCCCAAATTTTACTAGTTCTCAGTGGCATATGTGGTGAACCACAGTATATTTTCCTAAGAGCTTCAACAGCCCCATTCACTTAGAACCAAAACCACTTTTCCAACTTCCACAGACGATGCACTGCAATAATCTAAAGGAGGCTGGCAATGTTACCATCAGAAAGGCAAGCAAATGAAGACCAGAAACATTACACCATTTCTTCCAGTTGCAAGGAAATTCTTTGGCAGAACCAAAAGCAGGTTCCATTACCCTTTTTCTCTCTTTCTCTTAAAAGCACCTTGGAAAGAGTGGTACACTGGGAACACAGTCCAGCATGGTGCCTAACTACAGGGTCTGAAAATCTTACAGAAACAGCAGAAAGCAAAAAACGAGAAACAGCTGAAGATAGAAGGACAAAGATGAGATAGGAATCTGGCACGAGAAAGAAAAGAATAGCAAAGGAAGAGAAGTCAGGCAATTAATACAATACCATGGTCTAAGAGGAAGAAAAACAGAGAAGTGTCACCAAAGGGAGGAAAAAAAAGTTAAGGAGAACACAGGAGCAAAAGAATAAAATATGCAACTCTTCTGGTTTCAGAAGCTATTGATTGGGAAGAGTATTATGATCTAGAGAGGTCAGAAAAGTAGCAAAACTGCAACTCTTCCCTCCTTGCTTAGTCACTGACAAGGAAAGACAACCTGTGTTCGCTTTTGAGCACTACAGAAGACTCATCTAAGAGAGGAAGCGAGTAAGAGAACTGCAAAGAAAAGCAACTTTGCTCCTAACGTCAGGTATGCATCCTGCTCATCATAGAAAGCTCTGCAATTTTTATGTCTTGAATTAATAAACCCTACAGTTAAGTCACACTCCCCCAAACAATCATAGTGTACCACATGGGAGTGTGGAACATTTCAGGATAGTTTTTTTCCCCTGATATCTGCTTATGTCATTCTCAAAGTTTTGGTATGGCAACCTTTAATACAAGCTCATGTTATCAGTTAATCACAAATTATGACAACCAATTGCCACTAGCACTGAATTGTTGATGCTCTCAGTCATGGCAAGTCATCTTAGTTATCTCAGAAAAATGACATGAAAATCTGTATCTGTGTCACTTCTCGCTACAGTTTCCCAAGATATATTCAGATCAAATTTACAATGGTATATTCATACAAGATTCCAAAGAAGCTTTGCCCCTCCAAAGATTTCTGGATGACATGTATTTCCATTTCACACTGAGCAAAACCAGTAATATATCCTACCACTAGTAATCCTCAAATGCCATATCAGTCAGACTCTTTTTCTAGGGAGATGTAAACTGTTAAGAGTTTAAATAAGAGTTTGAAACAGGCTTGTCACGGAATGTGTTAAGAAGCAACTTATCTTATAATAGCCATTTGAGCTTCACATACCAACAAATGCCAATGACTAAGGCAATATCTGTGCTAGATTCTAAGATTTGTATTTTCATATGGATGTTGGGATGTGAGTGAGGTGGTTGCTACAGTGAGAGCTGAAAAACTGCGATTGTGTAAATTATGAAGAGATAAGGCAGGAACTCTTACAATTAAGGACCACCATTTGCAATTGGTTTAATGCCTGGCACTTCGGACACTCACACAAAATTTTGTTGACTATTCTGAGGTTGCTCTTCCACACATCTACTACTTCTAGTGTCCTGGTAGAGACTGAAGTCTACTCTGACAGATTCTGCCTGGAGTCTAACTGCACCACCTTAGCACATGGGAACAGCTCACACCAGCAGAAATACCTGCAGATCAGTCTAGTTCACAGTGGTTCCTAAACAAAAAACTTCTCTAAAGTGATTAACATATGACCACGTTTCATTATTGAGACACAAATTACCAAAATTAAATTCTGGTCCTGCCTAGAAAGAAACCAAAGAGAACTTGCCTACCAGAATGTTTTCATTTTGTTTCACAAGCACTTGTTTTAGCTTTGCTGACTAACAATTAACAACTCTGAAAAAAGGAAGCTTGTGTTAAAGGTTACTCAAGTAAGATGCAAGTTCCAAATAAATAAACAGAGAACTGTAGGTCTCCAAGGTACACAAATATTTATGGTTTTAAAAACAAATCAAATCATACACTATAAAAAAATAAACAAAAACACTTTTCACTTGCATCATCATCATAGACAAAGCATGGTACAGACTCAGTCTGTAGAATGTTCTTTACTTTCACATTTTCTGCACTCTGAGAACAGATTCAATGAGTAACACGTAACTTAAATTAGCTACGTGGTCTGAAAGAAGTTTCATTTGGACTGTATTATGTAAATACGTGACTGTCCCCAGCACTCTCAAAGATCACTTACACAATGGCTGTTTTGAGTATAAACATTCCATTGTTTTTTTTCTTCCCAGTATTCCCATGAAAATGATATTTACTTTTAAATACATTGACTTCACAAAAGCCAGAATCATTTCATAAGCCTTGTTCTTATTTTTGAAGTTGTGAGTTGTTCTTACAACTTACAGTTGTACAAGTTCTTATTTGTGAAGTTGTGAGAATAATGCCAGTAACTACAATACAATCAAATCAGAATCATGACTTTCATTGTATTTTTGCTTAGGTCTGTTTCCTCTCTTTGAAGAACTATCTGGACAAAAAAAAAAAATCAGGACATTACCACTTGTTCTCAGTACAGAAGTATCTACAATATCTGTTCTGAAAACAAAATCTTCTGTCTGCAATGTATTTTTGTAGGCACACAGACTCAGCTAGTTTCTCCCATTACAAGGAAAATGCTAAAACAAAAGGTACATGTAATCAAAAGATTTCTCAAAAACTGTAATGGTACTTCTCATGCAGCCCTCAGACAATCACATTATGTCTGTTTTCTCCACGTTTTGCTACCTTTATGTTACAACTGGCACCTCAGTGAGCACTTACAGCAAAAATAACAAGCTGGTTCATATGCTATAGTGGTACTGTCCTGCCCCCGCACCAAGATGGGGCAATCACTTTTGTCACGTAGCACAGCTGAACCACACACATAAAGTTAGATATGCTGCCAACACACCAAAATTTACCACACGCAAATACGTTCCTACTTGTATCTAAGGAGCTATGGGAAAGAGGGTATTCCAAGTAGATTGTCACTACAGAATAGCTCATGATCTTTATTACTCTTTTGTCTGAGGGCCCTTGAAACATGATCAGGAAACTGTGTGCAGATGGATTAAATGTTCTGATGCAATGCCAGAAGGTTGCCATTATTTACTCGAGACCCTGACAGCCACCTACTTTCAAATGGCTGGATGCATGCCACTTATACAACGAAAATTCTATTATTTTCTTGTGATCACAACACATTTTATTTCTGCAATGCAGAATGAGGTAGGCAAGGCTCTCCTGCAATGACAGTGACTGAAAGCAGGCTGATGTCGACAGAACTGAACTAGCTCAAAGCCCACAGGTCAGGGGAAACTGGTGGTGATCCCACCCAAGACACCCCAAAGTGATCTGATACTTTTAATCTTTTATTTTACCAGTTTAAATGTGGAAGACACATAACTCTTCCTTATTTCATACTTAGAAAGGAAAAGGAAAAAAAAGGAAAAAAGGAAAAAAAAGTTATACCTTATCCCCTTTCTCTTCAGGTTCATCTTCATTGAGGAATTCTCGTTTGGGATATGGAATCTGACAGCCAGCAAACACACTGGAACACAGCAGAAACACAACAAATATGTACATATGACATACTTTTATTTAATGCTATATTAAAGATATGAATATAACACAAAACAATTTCTGTAATTTCATGGCCATGAGTGAGCAGCACTGAGAATGCTCAAGACAGCAGAAGATACCAGCAGCAAGATGCTGATCATGATGGCAAATCTCCTTGCTGTTGGCATAAGGCCCTCACTTAGAAATCATGGTATGGCTGAACAAGCTTGAATGCGAGAACGACCACTTGTTGCTTCAGATGGCAAAATACAGTGCTGTAGCAGCCAGATGTTACACAACACCTGGCTGGAGCACACATGCTCATTGAATAAAGGGTCTGATCCAAAGATAAATAATGCTTTGCGAGTCCCTACTTGACTTACAGTGGTCTGAAATATATCTGCAATCCTGACTACACAGTTATTGCTCAATTAGCTTCTCTGATCTTGTTTAGAGAAAAAAGACAGCTTCTGAATTCATGTGGCTAATAGGATTTAGAACATCCCTTCACGTTTATGGCAGATAATTCATCACAGTGTCTTACTGTCAATCGTGAGGAGCTATGGTTCCACATAGGATAGCCTCAGGTAAACACTACACAGAAAATTATTGGTAGATGCTGACCACTACCAATTTCTTAGATTTCTGTGCTAACTGCTGAAGGCATTTAAAGTAAAACAAAATCAACATGGTTTTATTACATTATTATGTAAAGTTTCTTAACAGTGTTTTATCTAGTAGAATTCTGATTTATCCAAACAGAAAAAATAAGAGGAAGAAAAAACAAACATTAGCTCAGCTAGACTACATTTGCACTCATGTGACTGTTCCCTTCTTTCTCTGTTTGTTGCCTGCTAGCTGAGGAAGCAGCAAAAACAAAGGTAGAAGTCTCCCTGCATTCAGATTTTACAGATCATAATGCTTCTGAAAACTGGGAAGAGAAACTGGCGGGTGAAGTTCTGTCACTAGCAGTTTCATATGCGGGATCTGTGGTAGTCATTGACTTCTTTTCTCTCCTCATATTGTTATGACCCTGCACAAAAGGGCATGGGAACAGAGTGCAGAACAGAGAACTGCCCTAGGCCTAGGGGGAAGCACAATGAAACCAGGTAATGGAAAGCAGAGCTCCATAAGGCTGCGTAAGGCAGAACAGAACAGGGAGCCAATTAATTCTCTAAATACTGCAATAATACTGGCTTTGATAGCACATTCAGAATTACAACACTTGTGTAATAGGGGGTTAATGCTCACAGCCAGTCCTGGCATCGGTAGATACAGAATCTTTAGGTCTATGTTAACAGTTTCTACTGAGCATGCCAGAGCGACCACTTCTTGTGACACATGCAGACATCTGTGAATTTTAGAGCTGTCATCTCTTATCAGGGATTAGCAGTTAGAAGAAAGACAACCTCCTTGAAGAGCAGAGAAGTGAGAATACATACTCTGATGTAGGCAGAGGATCCTCTTGAAAGTAAGGGTCCTGCAAAGCCTGCTCTGAGGTAATTCTCTTTGTAGGGTCCATAGTAAGAAGTTTCTGAAGCTGTAAACAGTAAAATGAGCAAAAAGTTTATCAAACTATCACTTTCCAAACTTGCAACTTATATAACTGTTGAATTATCCGTGGCTTGCCCAGACAAGCCTAAACTATAATTTCCCAAGAACTAGAGCAATGTTCCCAAGAGCTACAGAACACTATGGCAGCAAACATCTCTCACATAAGAAATGCTGAAGGGCAGCTTGCCCCTAAGTATTAATTGCTAAGTATTAATTGTATTAATTGGTAAGGCTGATACACTGTCTTAAAGCAACGTTAAATTCAGCTATTACATGTTTATAATGTCTAAATAACAGTTGGTTTTTTTTTTTGTGATGTATATAACTTTCATACTGTTCTATAGCATGACACAACAGGAAAAATGTGTCAGGTGAGACTGGATATTATCAGGACTACATTTCACTTAGAGTCAGAAACAATAAATCTTCACCTCTCTCACTAGCAAAATTCCACTCATTCTGCCACTCACACAGGTTCTCGTTTCACACTAATTGGTATTGAGAAAGAGGAGGAGCACACCCTTCCTTCTTTATTGAGCTCGAATTATATAGTACATATCCTGATCTCACATAATGCCCTCCTAATTCAAGTTAGCAACAAAAATAAAATTGCACCATATATCACCCTCATCACAAAACTACTTCCAAACACTGTACTCTGTCCTCCAAATAAAAGGCTATTGTACCACAACAAAAAATCTAAAGATATCCAGAATGTTTAAAGTGATCTGCTCACTCTCTTAATAATTCCCCTCCAATCCAGATGATATAATGAGTTTCCTCATTCCAGGTGGTGCCACGCACAGCATCACTCTAAGTGAGATCCCTGTCTAACAATGATGCTACTTGTGAGCCAGTTTTCTTTGTCTGATTTTCTGTAGCTTCCACTGTTTATATGAAAGTGAAAAATATAAGTTTGGACTCATTTTGCTTACAGGATAGCAACTGCTAACACAACATAGAAAGCCTGTGAGATTGGGTCTCATTCTTCTCAGCAACTAAACTCTGGCTGGCCTGACAGGATAGCTATAAATATAATGCTTGTAACTTTTTCCAGGGCAGCAACAAAAGATGCACTTTCCAAGGGAGAAAACATTCTAACTTTCACATAGACATCAACATTCAATGTCAGTCAGCAGCATGGCACGATATCTGTTTTTTGGTAAAAATCACTTGCCGTGACCTGTGCAATCTTATTCACAGCTCTGGCAGGCTCACCTATTTAAGAACAACTTCCACCTATGTGGTCAATAACTAAATCACACCTGCTCAGCCCTGATTATTAATAGGGAGAACTACCTTGGCTAAGAGAAGTAAGTCTTCTACATGATGTTTAGAAAACAGCCCTTAGATTTCAGAAAATGTCAGTTCTCACCCTCAGTGCTATATAGAGGAATACATAGGTTACCAACTATTTTTTTGGTCATCTTGCAATAACCCTGCCTAATTCTCCGTGATGAAAAGTTCATTTTTTTAATATACACTTTTGCCACCTTATGGCTAGTTCTGTACTCTTCAGAGATTTGATTAATATTTTCCTCTGGAAAAGTGGCCCACCCACCCTCAACCTGGTGTTCACATGATTAATTAGTGTTTCCTTCTTTGCCCTTCCATAAAAGTAGGCTTTCTGGTGGTTTTTACCTCTAGTCAGAAAGCAGAGAAATTCAGGTGCTAATTGTTACAACTGTGGTCTTTCCAATTAGAATTTTCCTCAAGATTATTCCAATCTGTGTCCAGTAAGCTGAGTTTAAGAAATTTTGATTTTCATGGAATCTCAGATTTCTTCTGTGAAAGTTTTCCTTCACACACACACAGAAAAAGATACTTATACTTTCCATTCCTCCTCCCTTTACCTCACATAAGTTTTTAGCTTGAGAACTCTTCAGCTTTGAAACTATGTGGAACCAAGGGATATGTACTACTCAGTATCCTATTTGTATAGTAGAGAAAAGCATAAGGCTGGGTTTACAAGTTCCTTGCAGATCAAAATTAGATAAAAGCTTCAGCTCTTGAGTATGGGCAGTTTAAGCATAATCTCAACATGAATGTATACAAAGAAAACATATCTAAAAAATGGCAAGTTAGTGATAAATGGCTTTGTTTTGTCAATGTTCAGAAGAATGAGTTAGAAGAACAGACGCAGATATTAATATTAGAAACACATTTCACTCCCACCATCATAGTGATTTTCAGTTCGTACTTACCAAAAGAAAGACTTTGCTGTCAGGCTTGACTTTGTGTTTCTCCATGTATTTTATGAGGCTACTATTGGCATACCTGAAAAACATTGTTCAAAGGCATTTCTGAAATAACAGAGCATTAAGAATATGGAACTGTACCACTAATCACAAAACATCAGCCTTTAATAAGTAAACCGTAGAAAGAACTGCTATCAGAACACACATCATAGTTATCAAGCAGTTGACGCTCTAAGTATGCTTTTCACTAACAGAAGTAGTATCAACAGCATACAGATTATTTCCATAGAACATGCAACTTTTTCTAGTGTATGGATAAGCTGTTGACATTGGCTTATGACAGAGAAACTCAACCTGAAGTTTACACTCTAGCTTTCCAAAGCAACTCTGACACAGAAAGTGCACAGCACTTTGTTATTGAGTAGGTTATTGTTTCCAGCTGTAACTGAGCAGTTAACCATTCTGTCTCCCTCAAAAGAAAGAAAATCCTGAACTCCCTAGTCTTTGTCCTCTGCATTATAGCAGAGACTGTGTTACCCTTGATACCCTTTGATCTATCACCACCACTAATTTGATTTAGCCAAAGCAACTGGTAACACTAGAAGTAGGAAATTTTCAGATTCCAGACAAGCTTTACATCACAACCTATCGACTGCATTGCTTTCTGACTACTGCTGCATTGTCTCCAGATTTCTGCTGGTCAGAAGGACTAAGGAGGTGCTTATCTATTCCTTCTCACACAAAATGAATTAAGTTATCTTAAACAGCTAAGTTAAAGCAACTTCATTTGTGTTTGCCATAGATTAAATGACACTTACAGCGATCCCTTCCAGAGAAATGGTCACTCATCTAATGCTATTAAGCACTTGAGAAAGAGAATATTACTCAAGCAGAACAATTAATTTAAAACAGGACAGCTGTTACAATTGTGGGACCCAAACACCCCAAATTCCCCTCCCTACAAAAAAGTTTCAGAACAATAGGATCCAGTTTCTGCCAATCTGCTTCATTCACTGCAGTGTCGCGTTATCATTACTCACGTTGTTCTCCTGAAATCTTTTTGAAGAGTTGGATATTCTGGCATCTTTCTTATGTCTTCCCAGTCTTTATCTTTGGTGAGGGCAAAAAAAGGAGAAGCATTTACAATTCTGGAAGTGAATATTAAGTAATACACACTAAGAAACAACTACAGTTGTTTGACATTCTATAATGGCCAGCACTACTGTTCCATAATAGTCAGCATTTCCAAATCCATCAGACTGATGGATTCCTCGCATCCGTGCAAACAACTCCAACCTTTAATGAAAATCAGTTACCTGCAGGGAATCCCATTACACTGAAAATGCGATCCAGCTGATCGTGATGGAAAGGATTACTTGTTTTGATGTCCTCCTGACGACAGTGAAATATAGGCTCTGAAGTCAATAGCTCAGCAAATATGCAGCCAATTGCCCAAATATCTAAGAAAGAACATTCATGTAAACTTACTGTACTTCATTGCTCTGATTTTCATTTCAGTACAATTTCTCAATAATCTGTGTGATAGCAGTAAGGTAAAATGTCTCACTGTATAATACATACAATATTTTTTAAAATAATGCATTGATGTAATCATAAAAAAGAATAAAACCTGGGGAAACGTTTTTAGTGTTTTATTTCCTCCACACAGCAAGCTTTCAAACTCTCTTTCAAGCTGTACAGCAGCAGTCCAGCACTTAATGCATTCACAGCTATGGATGAAACCTACACGATATTTGGTGAGAACATAGCTTAAAAGGGCATGAAACTGATCATCAAAACCACAATGCTAACACCTCACTGAGATATATATTGACCTAACAGTTGTATCACCTTTCAGAATAATTCCAACTAGGCAATGGATATACAAATATATAGTAATAAGGGTAATGATTCAGATGCTTAGAAAAAAAGAGTGCAGGCTAGTTTAAACAGAGAAAAAAGCCTAATTTTAACTTAGTAGAAGAATCACCATAGTTCTAACGATCACCACCAACATATTAAGTGTTTTGCACAAAATGAATGCTTTATTATGCATCTTAAAATGAATGTGTGAATTTGTCAGTGAGAAAAAAGTTATTAGCAGGGGAAAAAAAAAGGATTTTTTGCATTGACAAATACAATGTAACTGGGGTATAACAGCAAAAAAATATGTTGAGATTGCTGGAATAATGAATGCAGATTGCCAATTACAAGAGTTTTACCTGATAACTGAGGTTAAACTAGATGGTCCTGGGAAAACTTTTGGATTTTATTAAATTAAAGAGCATAAATATAGAAAAGTTTATGCTTAGTTCAAAAACCTAGCAGGTAGCTTAAGCGAAGACTGATTTAGTAGATTCAAAATGAAAAGAACACCAAAGCCTCTTGGCTTTGTTACCTGCATGCAACTATTATGAGACCCAAAAATCCCACCTCCTGTTAGTGGTGTTTGAACTTTGTCACCTAAGAGACATACAGTTTCCTTACAGAAGAAAAAAGCACTGATCTCTTAATAGAATCATAAGGGATGAATAAAAGAGCTGTTACACTCTCTGTGCCAAAGCATGTCTGTTCCACTTCCATAATGTTACAAGCACCGAGACTGGGCTTTTAGAGGTGTCCCAGTTTATAAGCTTCTCCACTTTCTTTACTGTAAAGTCTGATAACATCTCATTATTGGGCTTTACAATTTCAGCAGGATATAACTCATTCTGTGTTACATCAATTTCTTGGGCTCTTATCTTTCTTTGATTTGTTTAAAGCCTTGCTTGCATGAAAACAAGATCTATAGCTCTTGAGTTTTCATCTGTTCAAGCAGGTAATGCAGCAAATTAATCATGGAATCCACTTAGTTGGAAGAGACCCTTATAGACCATTTAGTCCAACTCCCCTGCGACAAACTGGGATGCCTACAGCTACATCAGAGTGCTCAGAGCCCCATTCAGTCTGACCTTGAGTGTGCCCAAGAATGGGGCTTCCACCACATCTCTGGGCAGCCTGTTCCAGCGCCTCAGTACCCTAATTGTAAAAGCTTCTTCCTTACATCCAGTCTAGATCTCCCCTCTTTTAGTTTGAAACCATTTCCCCTTGTTCTATCACAATATACTGCACTAAAGAGTCTGTTCCCTCTTTACAGTCCCACTTTGGTTAATGAAAGGCTGCTATCAGGCCTCCCCAGAGCCTTCTCTTCTCCAGGCTGAACAGCCCCAGTTCTCTCAGCCTGTCCTCATACAGGGTGGTATTCCACCCCCTGGATCATTCTTGTAGCTCTCTTCTGGATGCACTCCAACAGGTTCATGGGTACAATTCTACAAACAATTCTTCTTCCAGCAAACGTTCCACCCATCAAATCCATGTCTTTCCAATTTAGAGAGAAGGATATTAATGGAGGTTGTCAAAGACTTAAATAATAATTCTTACTTGGATAGTAGGCATAAGTTATATACTCCAGTATGTAAATTAACTACTATTTGAAAAGTTGCACGTAGTATCTCCTCACTCATTTTCATACTAGAGAGTAAGCCCTTTTGGAGATGGTTCATTTGGAGGCCAAAGGGGTTGTAACCCCCTTAGGTACCCTGGCTTTCTGTAGGACTCTCTGTTCATCACATACTGAGAGAGAGGCTGTGCCACCACTCATTATTCTACTCATCACTGCTATGTCCAGATTGATCTTTTCCATTTGAAGAAAAAAAAAAAAAAAATCACTAGTGTTCTTGATGAAAGTAAGTTAACCAGGAAATCTCCCTAATGCTCCTAACTTGGCAAAGGTCAGAACTTTGTCCCTTCCCACATAGGATGAACTGTGTGAAAGAAGAATCCCTGTGACAATGAATTCTCACTCCCAATTCTGTGATTAACATACAGAGCACATCTTAATCAAAAATTCAAAGAATTCCAACAACCAAGCCATTATAACAATTGAAAGTTACATTAGAATAAACCCTGATAGCTCCCAAGTTGTGATTTTACTTAGTATCGAACAAGAGTTACTAGACCAGCCAAGCAGGAGAATATTTTAACTCTGACAAGTCATCTAGTAAGTTACAGTGCTGGAATTCAACTTCCATGTTTCTTGCTATGTACCCTGCAGCTTCAAAGAATTAACATAAAGAATTTAGTATAGAAAACTTGAAGGTTTAATTTCCGTAAGTGAAGATTAAACAGCTGGAAAAGGCCTTACAGCCTTGAAGCTCCAGTGGGTCAGGGTCTTCCCTTTGTGAATCCAGCTCCTTTGTAACCTGATCTTGAACACATCCTTGGCACATATTGAAATCGTTTTCAGAGTTAATGATCTTCTGCCAAATTTGTCTAGTTTCAACCCCCTCTATTTTTTTTTTTTCTTTTTTTTAAGTAGCTTTTGTAATCTACAGTAATTATTTCCAATATATGGATTTTTTTTTTTCCTATCAGGAATATCTTGTTAAATTTCACCAAGTTTAAGAACATCAATATGAACATCTCTTACTAGGTATTAACCTACCACATTGTTCATCTTAGTCAACCAAACAAGAACTTCAGATCTGACTACAGAAAAATGTGTCAACAATTAGAAATCTTCCCATCTGGTGCCATTTCAAATGTTTTCAGTCTGTGCTCCTTAATAAGACTAACGATTATAGCATCCTAATAGAATCAAATAATCTAATCCAAATAAGAAGTACTCCCCCCTTCAGAAATTGGCCTTTTCTGGGACAAAGCTTAAAACACATAAGCATTTTCAGCCACAATGTATTCTCAGTCTAGAGCAAATAAATCTTTAGCACAAGAACTTCTTACACTGCTTTACTTACAATGAAATTGTATATACAATTTTTAGTATTCAAAAAGCAAAACTTTCTTCTCTCATTCCAACTTCATTCAAGAGGTAAGTTGTTTCATTGCACCTGAACCAAAGCTGCACTACGCACTATATTCATTTTAACTTTATTTTTTTCCCCAGAACCACTGAAAACACAGGTCACAGAGGTCTTACAAAGTTGTGTTGGATATGACATATTTTCCAATCTGATGTCTCAAAAGGATCTTAATCAATTTACCAAAGTGATACAATCAGAGGGTTTTGTTTTCTACAGTTCTCTCTATTACCATTAGGATTCAGAAACGATCTGTGGTGGAAGGCTTCTTCCTCAGTGAAAGAGCCCAGCAGGAAAGGCATTATGAGGTGGGCTGCACTGAAAATACACACAGGAAATGTTCTTGAAGGAATTAAAGTTCTGAAGGTCCACAGACTGGACTGGTTAGTTTTCATTAATTCAAACGTTAACTTGATCCCCTCATCTTTTTATTTGCTTGCCTAGGGTACCAGACTCCTCACTTTCCCCAGCTTTACATCAAGCTCAACTGCAAGCCAGTTTTGCTCACCGGTTCTGGAAGTTAAGGCCTTCATATCATACTCCCTAAATTCCTCACTGAACAGCTTCCTTACGTCCTGTTCAGGACTTTTCACCAGTGAAGAATTCTTCCATTATAAAAGTGTATCTCACAGAATCACAGAATCACCCGGGTTGGAAGGGACCTCAAGGATCATGTAGTTCCAACCCCCCTGCCTAGCAGGGCCACCAAACACACACATTCAGATCAGGTTGCCCAGGACCCCGTCCAACCTGGCCTTAAACACATCCAAGGACGGGGCATCCACAACCTCCCTGGGCAGCCCGTTCCAGGGCCTACAGAGTGATTTTATAAAAGGAAAAAATATTCAAAAAAGATGGTCTGCTGTGGCTGGTATGCAGACCTGCCATACATACACACAGATTATGAGAATATTTTTATGCCTGTCTACATCCCAGTTTTAACACCTTTAACACTATTAGCTTTATAGGTCAGCCAGTAAATCTGAGAAAATCCTGCATGACCCATTCTACTTGAGTGCAGTGACCAAGGAGCAAGTACAAAAGGATGCCAATACAGGGCTGATTAAGGACAAGTACTCACATATTCCTTCCTTTCTATGGCAGAATTATCTAATTTCTGTATTTACTTTGGTATTTTGGAAACATTCTTTAAGAAAATTAAGACAATAAGACAGTATATTGAGCAATAGTCCTGATACTCATAATGAAATATCTTTTTCCATGCATGTTAACTAAAATGTTTCATTTGAAGACAGGACAAAGACCAAGACAAAACAAAGACTTTATATTTATTAACTGTATCCATGAAAAGAAATGCATAAATAACTTAGCCATTCTTTAATAAAACTCCATTGAAGAAAATAAAGAATTAGAAAAACATTTGTTCAGCTGTAACCAGTTGCTGCAATTCATTATCAGTGCAGTTTCATTAAATAGCAACGCTACCTCAATCAGCTTGGACTTTTTATTTGAACACAAAGTCTAGACCATAGAACATGCCTGAGTGCTGGTAAGGGAAGGGAGTACCACATAGATGCCAGAATAGAGCTTCTCATCAAGGGCTAATGCAACAAGCAGACTAATCCTTATCTAGTTTATCACAT